CCATTCCTTACGGCTGGGAGTTTGATTCATGTGGATCATGGTTGGAGTCCTTCTATTCTTAACTGATGCCAACATTTTCACATATTCCATTATCATTCTTTCTTAAATTTGGCATAGAAGGAATGTGCTCGTGCCTGAAGGATGTCTTTTGCCTAGTTGGTATGTTGTTTCGTCTTCCCGGTCCTTGCAATCTGCTTTTGAAAGTGATGTTGCGTCGAATTCAGAGAACTCCAACATTGCAAGATACCGGATTATTCGTCAAGTTGGCGTAAACCACCTGCTGGATATGTGAAAGTCAATGTTAACGGTGCTTGCCTTTTGCAATCAGGTTATCCGGCCGTGGGAGTGGTTGTTCGAGACTCGGAGGGTATGGTGCTCGCTGGGAGGGGAAGCTATTTAGATTGTCCCCAGGATTCCATGCTTGTTGAAGCCCACGCTCTTTGCACTGGTCTCCGTTTAGCGGTAGCGTTGGGGTATAGCAAAGTTTTGGTTGGGAGTGATGCGCAATCACTTGTTCATCAGGTTCACCATTTTTCTTTTGATTTCTTCGGTGTTGCAGTTTATTCTCGGTGAAGTGCATCATATCCTTCAATCCAATGCTCACTTTGAGATTCATTCTATAAGTCGTTATGCAAACGAGGTTGCTCACACACTGGCTCATTTTGCTTCAACGTCTTCATATATTTCTTTTGATTATGATTATCCCATGTGTTTAAATTGTTTTATTGTAGAGGATGCTATTAATAGTTAATGCATGGTGGGCACTTTTTTCCCCTATTTAGGTTAGAGGGGTTTTTAAGCCCGTTTTTATTATAAAAAAGTTATTTTTTTATTTTGATATTTTATAATTACTTATTTATGCTTAAAATTATAGTTTTTTTTACTTTAGAGATTCATTTATATCAATTCAAAATTTAAGGGAATGTTACTCTTAAACAGCAAATATTTTCAAAACACTGAAATTGAGATATTTTTAAAGAATTAGCCTTATTTATTTGATTTTCTTCGTTTATAAAATTCAAAATACTATAAGAACAAATTCATAAAGGGTTTTTTTTCTCAAAATAGAGTTACCCTAATAAAATATTAAGTTATCTTATTAACATTATAAGATTTTTTCCTCTTAACGGCGCTGCATTTTTATCGGTAAATTACATCATTCATCTCTCAATTATCTTCTCACTCCTATTTTAATACTAAAATTTAAAAAAATTCGATTGAACAACTCAACTTTCAAATTACTCTTATTTTAATCAATCTAATATATTTTATTAATAAATTTTATGTCATGATATTTTTATTATTATTTTATTAACATATAAATAAAAATGATTTTTTTAAAGTTAAAATGATTAAATTAGTAGTAATTTAAAATTAAGTAATTTGATGTGACTCATCTAGTTCTATTCTTGGAGGAATGGCGTTATCAACCCCGGGCTGTGTTGAGGCAAGTCTGGAAAAATTCATGTATTTACTGTTGGACTGAACTTTGCTCGTGACATTCAGTGGTCGCATGTGATTTTTAAATCGGATTATACTCTAGTGGTCAACAAGATGTATTGTAACACCCCAACCCGTACCCAACCCGGATACGAGCCCGATGTGTCACATTGACTTTTCAAAATGTTTTTCTTTAAAACTTAGCTAAAAATTCAAAATCACATTTCTAGAAAAATGAATATTTTACATTAATTACAATCATATGATTTTACAAAACTGATCAGAGCGTATACAATTCAAATCTTTATTTACATGCAAACTACATTCCTTGTAACAAAATACATACTATTCAAATACTTTTCTGATCTGATCTTTGAAAAGGAGAAGCTTACTTGTCTTATCCCTCTTTGTTCCTCAATCTTCTCGAAACTTACGTGTGAAACACTCACATGCTAAGTCATTGACTTAGTGAGGCATTTAAATCTTATAATAGAAACTCTAAATACTTAACAATGCCTAAACATTTCATACAAGGATATCACACAAAACCATAGAACATTTCATATAATTAAATGCATACATACACATATCTCATCATTATTATCATTATCTCATTACACTATCAATATTATTATCATTCATATCCTTTAAATTATATACTCTTGTATTTAATCTTCATATACCTCATACAAAACATTTCACAAAACAACACACATAACATCACATGCACTTTATTTATATTATATATGTTAATAGCCCATGTACATTTCTGAGAACTAAAGATATGTGAGTACATTAAGTTTGTGCACATATGTTGTCACCATAGCTTGTATAAATTCCCACTAGGGGCATATAAAATTGTCCCTAATGACCACGTAGAAATGTCCCGAAGGACCATATAGAACCCTCGACTCTTGGCATGCCAGCTATACCTCTAACTCTCATATCACATAACATGGGCATTATCATTTTTTATCACATATCACATACTTCACATAGATCATATCACATCGTATACTCTCATAGCTCATTGTCATATATTGCATATCACATATACTTGTATTCACATAGTTCATAATTACATAGCTTATATTCTTCTTCACATAATCACATAGATCAATGTCATTGAACTTATTTCACTTTCTCAAGTTATTAGATAGGCATATAATCTCATATGTCCTGTCTAATAACATATATCATATATGCATATAATAACTTATATCATATCATATAGCTTATGTTTTATTTTCTTATATTCACATAAATCACATAACATATAATGCATACAAGGCATATTCATGTGTGCATGTAACCCCATAGTTTGTATCCTATATAATTTATACTTTTTTCTCTTATGTTCACATATATCATGTAGTCTATATAGTCACATAGATTGCATAGCACCTAGAATAACATATAAACTTACACATGTACTCATGCAACATCTTTCATATAATTCGTATAGTAATGTTATATACTCATATCTCATAATAATTTCACATGACTATATCTTAGGTTCATTTCAACACATAAATCATATAACACCTAAATCTTCCTCATAGAGTTTATCCTACATGTTCATATAATCTCTTGTCACAATATCTCATATTATCCTATATATAAATGATAGTTAGCTTATCTCACTTTTTTATTTATTTACATAGATCATTTGTATTATTTCACCTATGTTCTCTTGCATACATGTATTCACGTAAATTATTATCACATAAGGTCACATATAATATATAAACATGTATTCACATAGAAACCATATAAACAATATGCTTGCATTCATAGAATCATACAACCAAAACATTAGAAATAGACTCATCAGAAGTCTTATTTCCCTAAAACACCATATACCATATAATATGCACTCACCTTAGCCTCACTAGTCCAAGTCTTACACTTATCTCTTTCTTGCTCGATCTTATCTCGGTGACTCATCAGATACCTGCTTTTGATCGATATCTACACAATTATACGACTTATATAAATATCGGAGTTCGAATCGCGTATAACTAATCAATATAACTTAAGCTGAAAAAAACTCTGAATTTAACATTTCAAGCTTAATAGTATCAGTACTCTTACTATAGTACCGAGACTACCCTCATATGGTATCGATACCCCCAGGTACCGATACCATTTTGACATTTTGTACATATAACTTGGTAATGGTATCGATACTAGATACTTGGTATCAATACCTCCTTTAACCAGTACCAATACCACTCTTTAGGTATCGATACTTCCTAAAGATTTCATCAGATTTTATCTTATGGTATCGATATTGTTCCTTCAGTATCGATACCCCAAGCTCAAATTATACTCATGTAGCTTTGAAGTATCGATACTAGATGAACAGTACCGATACCCCATGCACATAACTTATTTATTTTACCTAAAAATTTTCCAAAACTTACTTAACTTCCACTCTACTAATTCCTTTCAATTCATTAAACTCAAATATACTTATTAAAACTAACTTATATCACTTAAGCACACTTTATCATTCACAATCCTCAAAAAACATTTAGAAACAAAAGTCACACCAATTAGTCAACATGTTTTTAATTCACTTCTATTACTTCTAACTTCTTAATTAGATAATTGAAAAGTCAAATATGGCTTAAAAATCCATTTATAACCTCTTTATCAAGAATTTACCTTAACACCCCTTATATTCAATCTCTTATAATTTATAACTCTTTTAGCTTCAACCTCTCTTTTAGCTTCCATAAGCTTTCTTAACAATCCAAGAATCAATACCAACTTTAAAATGAAAGAAATAGTCAACTTGAGAGCAACTTACCATATGCCAAGCACTCACAGTGGAAAAAGAGGAAGAAGAAGAAAGCTAAACCAAAACTCTCCAGATTTTTTCTTCTCTTTACTTCCTTACTCTCCACGTGGATATTATAACACAAATGAATTTTTTAATTCATTCTTGCTAAAAGACCTTTTTGGCATTTCTTCTTTTCAAATCAGTCCTACCTAAAGGAATTACAATTAAGTCTCTAAACTTTTCAATTTTTCAAAATCAGACACACAGTTTCAAAACTTAATTTTTTAGTCACCAATCTGGGTTTTTGGATGTTACATGTATCGTGTTGACGACAACTTAGTATTTGTAATAAAGTCTCCCACAACTTAGTTGTTTGGGCCTTTTGCTCTAGGAATGTGTTGTTCTTTGACTCGATTTATCTCGAGGATATTGTTTCTGATGTATCAAATGATATTCTTCCTAGTGATAGAATTTCTTAGGGCATTCTTTCCCCTTTATAGAAACTAAAAGGGATTTTTAATGAGGACCATATTTAGAAAAAATAAAAAGTAAACTTTAATGACCATAATAAGAGTGAGAAGATAGTTGAGGGCATTCTTTCCCCTTTATAGAAACTAAATGTTATGATGATTTTAAAAAAATTGAAAGCTTAAATATTAAAACGGATCAAAACTGATAATTTAAATACTAAATACGTAGTTTATCCTAAAAAATCATTGAATCATATAACTTTACTCTTTTAAAGAACGTTGTTAAAAGAATTGAGGTTTCTTCATTCAATCTGATTTCAAGAATGAAGCCTAAAATGATGAGCAGATATGCAGAAGAGATCGGCAACAACCACGATTTGTTAACCCAACTCCTCCTCAGATTGCCGACCAAATCCCTCCTCAAGTTCAAGTGTGTCTCCAAGCAATGGCTCTCTCTCATTTCAGACCCTCAGTTCTGTCTCTCCCACACTCGCCACCAACATCGAGATGGTGATCGATATCTCGAACCTACTGCTCTTCTGCTGACAGTACAGTGCATCGCATCACCTGAATTCGATGTGGTTCCTTTGAAACATTACAGTAAAGTTCCTTTCTTTGATTATATCTCGAGCTCTAACTTCAACTTGATTCAATCTTGTAATGGATTGTTTCTTTTAGAATCCGTCGATGGTGATGATGAGGACAATGACAACGATGTTTACGGCTATTCCATCTGCAATCCAACTACCAAGAAATTTAAGAAGCTATCTTTTCCTAGAAACCCTAAAGATTATGAGTTTTATGTTAGTTTGGCTTTCGATCCTCTGAAGTCGCCTCATTATAAGGTCATCGTTGTTCGGGAAGTGTCAGAGAATCCATATATGTTTGAGATGGATATATACGTGTCTGAAACGAATTGTTGGAAAGTATCCGAATTCGTTTTCGAGGCCAAGGGTGAGGGCATGGCCTTTGAGGATGCAGTTTTCTGTAATGGGAGACTTCATTGGAATAGTTACATAAACGAATCGCTGTATTTCGATGATGAGAAGGAAAGTTTTCAGATAATGCCTATGCCAACGCCACCAATTGAGCACCATCAGGTTCAGATTCATAGGTATTTTGGAGAGATCAATGGGGGTTTGTATCTTGCAGTGACATACCATGCTTACACCGCATTGGACTTGGATGTTCATCAGATGTCAAGCGATTATTCCCATTGGTTCTTGAAAGACCGTTTGAATCTCGGCGATGCCATGAAGGTTTTCTCGGAGCTGAACTTGGGGTGTCATCCATTTGTACCCGGGTTCTCCGGTGTGAGTTTTGTTGGACTTGAGAAAAAAGATGAGGCAAAGGTTGTGATATGGGCGGATGGTAAGATAATATGCTATGATTTCGGCGATGCGGCATGGAAAATGGTGTACGATCCAGGGCCTGGTCTCAAGTTTGGCACTCATCATGACATTTACAATCATTTACATGAACAAAGGTTTATTTCTTACAAATACTATGAGAATCTATCCTCTATTTGAACAATCTTCTTCACTCATATTTGAGGGTAAGACATATGTATGTGCGTGTATAGTGGATTTGATGATGTATGTTTTGATTTGGATATTCTGCAAATATTTAGCAAGTCTTATTCCCTTATCAACTATTTTTTATGCTATATGAATTCAAGTATTGTTGTTTACGGCAATTGCTTTCTCCAAGTGATGAGTTGTGTGCATATTTGTATTCATCAAAATCTGGAAAATGGGATGATTCCTACATTAGTTTTGAGGCTAATGTTCTTGTAACAGACATTACAGATTCCAAATTTTTCGATTATCTGATCCAAAGGGCGAAGTGTTGAAAATCGTTGTTTTAATGGGTTCTCCAGTTATTTGCTGCTAGGTAAATGGTGGAACTTTGATGAATGTTTATGAGCTAAAGCCATGTCACAATATACACTGGCAGCGTGCATTTGGTTGAAGTCTTGTTTAGAATGGAGCTGAAATGCCATTCTATAATGTTTTGAGAATCCCCCCCCCCCCCTTTAAGTGTTTGAGCAAATGCGGTATGTATGGAGCTTGCACCAATCTTATGAGGTCTCATTTCAGTAATTTGTGCATTTATAGGAGTTTGGATCATCAAGGAACTTTTACCTGTTATCAATTGATATTAGCAATTTGATTTGTGTGCTCTGATTGACTGAATCCTAGATGTATGAAATATTTTTGAGTGAGCACCGGTAGGCTGGAGGGCAGTGACATGCACGTGTATAGGTTTTGTTTTTAATCATTTAATAAATATACGTTTAGAAGATCATATTTAAATACTTTTGAAAAATTAAATAATATTAAATTTAAAATATTATGATAAAAAAATTTATTATTCTTTTAAATGTTAAAAAATAGTTTTAAAATTTAATTATGGACAAGAGAAAAAGATTTATCTTTTTCATTGAAAAATATAGCAAATTAATCATCATAGCCACTTATCTTTTTCATTGAAAAATATAGCAAATTAATCATCATAGCCACTTGATAAATTTTAGGGTAAAATATATAAATAGTCCCTGAACTTTTAAGACACTTGCATTTTGGTCATTCAACTTTGGAAACTTGCAATACATGTATCAAACTTTTAGTTCGTTTTCAATAAAGTTCATGTCATTACCTCCAGTTAGTTTTTGTTGATATGACACTTACTCCTGTTAATCCCCTTTTTCTTCTTATTCTCTAATAAACATAAAAATAACTTATGTTCACCCACCGTCATTTGAGCTGCTATTTGAGTCTTACTCTCTCCATCTAGAGTCTTGACCGAGTTTTTCCTTTTTATCATTTTCGAAGTAAACGGTCTGGACCAAGACACAAAGATGCTTTGTTGGTTTGAAAATGTTGATCAATAGTATTAATCATGCTATAATTTACTACATCAGAGTCAGATAGAATTAAGGCATGCACCATATACATGTTTGATTCGGAAAACCCAATAGCCACTTGGGGACCACTTCACATGTAATTTGTCTAAAAGATTATACTTTTTTTTAAGTTTGTTTAAGATTTTTGAAATTGGCTTTCATTAAATCTAGAATTTGCCATTGTTGATTGTCATAAAAGCTTTATTCATTAGCTTTTGATGCCTCATTCCTAAGCTACAGGCATTATATTCTAAAACCAAAGTCCACAATCCTCAACAACTCACAAATCCTATATAAAGCTAGATTGATGCCGAAACGACCACAAAATCCCCAAATTTCGTCTGTTGTCGGACAATGTTACCGAACAGTAAAAGGCCCGAAAGAGACACCTGACAAATTTCGTTTATTGACAATGCTGCCAACAGCAAATATCGTAAACCGACTCATTCGCTTTTACCGTTTTGTTGAGCAGCCACGAAATTGCGAATGACTTCCATCGCCTGCTGATGAGCACTCTTGTTCTGCAGCTTGGCAAGCTCTTCCATGGCTTCATACATCTCTTTATCAGCGAAAGGCTTTAAGATGTACCTTGCCGGTGATCGCACTAGACCTTCCCATTTGTCCACCAACTCGTGAAGTTTTTCGAATCCCTGAGAGAGAAAAAGAGGGGTGATCAGAGGTTGGATTAAGGGTGTTCAAACGGTTAATTCGATTAACCGACCGAATCAAATTATCTAAATTTTATTAACCAAAGTTTTTTCTCTTTAACCGTTAAACTGAATCGAATTTTTTTCAAAAAAATTTAACCGAACTGAAGTTCGGTTAATTGATCAATTAATCGAATTAAATGAAATTTATAAATAATATAGGTTATATATTAAATATTAAATATTTTTAGTTTATTCGATTAATCCGGTAGGTTAATTTGGTTAAAACCGAAATTTAAACACCTATAAAATTAAATAATATATTAAATATTTAATAATTAAATTAATTTAGTTAATTAACCGTTTTTAAGTCAAATTAATCGAAACTGAAATTTAAAAAAAAAACATTAACTGTTCATTGACTAAACCCAAAATTAATCGACCGAAATCTCTGTTCGATTGGTTAACTCTGTTTTAATCAAATTGTGAACACCCCTAGATTAGGTGAACGGAAGTTATTTTTATGTGCAGAGGAGGAGGAGAACGAGAAGAGGAAGGGGAGTTAACGGGAATTAAGTGTCGTGTCAACAAAACTAACGGGAGGTAACTGCCTCTCTTCCTCCGCTTCTCTCTTCAGCTCTCTGCCATCTCAAAGACTCTTTCATTTGCCTGCCATGGCTATTCTTCTCAAGACGCCGCCGTTTAGGTGTCCTCCTTCTATATCTCCATCTCTAAGACCCACTTCCTTAAACCTTCCAAAGCCCTTTGATGTCTGCTTCAAAGAGAGATTTCCTCGTAGAACCGGTGTCCTCCGGTTCAGCTCCACTCCTCTTCTTCGGTTCGTAAAGTTGGTTCCTTTTGCTAATAATGGCGGTGAAACCGAGACCACTGAGACCCAGCAAGAAGCTCAAATTGAGGTAACTGTTAACTTTCTCTGAACAAGGTTGCACTTCTTCTATGGATTCAAGTTTATGGGTTTGATTCTTTTGGCCTTCATTTTAGGTTTAGGTTTACGATTTCCTTATAAATTTGACGAAAATATTTATGGGTTTTGGAATTGAATGGTTGAAATGTCGGAAATGAGCTAAAATTTTGTGACTCGATAGTTTATAGAATTTAGCTGTATCAAAGGATTCCTTATCGAAAATCTTCTCTCTTTATTGGATGACTTTCCGCATAGAATCCTAGTTGTTCTACATCGACTGTTTGTTAATTTTTAATATTTTTGCCTGACACCATGTTCAAGTAGACATAATGCCATAGCTTGAAAGTAAAATAACTGGTGGAAATATTTTCCCTTATCTTGGCTGTCTTAGCTTTCTATGATTATTAGTGTATATTGCTAGTGCCAAGTATTGATTGGTTTTGGGATTATGATGGATAGATATAGAATGATAATAGAATCCAATCAAATTATTTGATAATTCGCATGAACAAGCAATCGTCTGTTTTGAGTGGAAGGGGAGAATGGATGAAACATAGCAATGAATTGGAGGTTTTTATCTTTTACGCCTCAAGGATCAGAAGGTGGTCGAGAACTATGGTGAAGTTCATGAGCTAGCTGTAAATCTGAATTGACAACATCAAACTTTGTATTTGGCTCAATGCTAGTCGTCTTGGAATCGGATTTTTTAATTAAAATTTAGTCTAATCCGGTGGTTGGTTATTTTCTGTCGATGGAAGTAACATAGGTTTAGTGATTTGACTTGTAACAATTGATAGTCGTCTCTTTCAAAGCTACCTATGAATATCTCTAAAAAAACATGGTTTTGACTTCTGAATACTTTGATAACAATAAGTTTATTCTGGGCTTGATATTTCTGGAAATTATAGGTTGCTATGTTACAAATAATTCTGGGCTCGATATTTACTTGCTTATGTGTGGTAGTGACCCTAAACCCTAAACTAGCGAGTCTAAATGAGAACCAACACTGCCCCTACTAACTGATACTTGTTGGAGGTGCTCTGTAGTGAGGTAGGATAAAAAAATGGGTTTTAATCATATCGACTCCACAATTCTTTTGTTATTTTTGTGTCCAAAATGTGGAGTCCTTGAACCCTTCTATTGTTCCCCCTCCACCCCACAATGAAATTGTATTTTGAACTTTGAAGTGTTAAAAATACAGCACATCCTATGCGGCTATGCCTTGCTGGCAAGTTTGTATCCCAGCATGCTAAAAAATGCACCTCATTCCTGACGAAGTACTAAGATCAGATTGACTATTTGACTTTGAAAATTTCCAACTATTATTGCGTGATACGATTTCTTTAGGGTTGATTTACCCGGTTTCTTAACCTGATTGAACTGTTTGTGATCACTGGCATAAGGTTAAGTATTCAGGGATGTAGAGACTTCCGTATGATTCTATTTTATTTCAACATTTTCTTTACCTGGTTACCTTTTATTGCTGTGTCGGAGACATATTTGTGGCCACATTTTTCATCATGATGGATATATATACAGGACTCTTTGGATGGTGCTGTCAGTGTTGAAGAGGACACCACTGGAGATGAGAGTAGTGATTTTGAAGACACCACATCTTCAACTATCCCATCATTGCTCCTAACATATAAAGAAGCTTTGGCTAGTAATGACGATTCGAAAGTTGCCGCTATAGAAGAATTTTTAAATTCCATTGAAGACGAGAAAGTTGATCTTGAAAAGAAAATGACTTCTTTGTCAGAAGAATTTTCAATCGAGAAGGATCGGATTCGTAGGATTAGTGCCGACTTTGACAACTTTCGTAAGAAAACAGAGAGAGAGCGTCTTTCATTGGTAAGTAATACCCAGGGAGAGGTTCTGGAAAATTTGTTGCCGGTTTTGGATAATTTTGAACGAGCTAAAGCTCAAATTAAGGTTGAGACAGAGGGAGGAGAGAATATCAATAACAGCTACCATAGCGTCTACAAGCAGTTTATGGAAATTTTGGGCTCACTCGGTGTCGAACCTGTCGAAAATGTGGGAAATCACTTTGATCCAATGGTGAGTTAATACTTGTTACACGAATACTCTTTGTTCTCCCAAACATTTCTAGGCCTGACAAATTTTACAAAATATTTCTT